AGTCCATATTACTACCAAAACAATTTTTAAGTAAAGAATATTATCAGGAATAAAGTTATTCATTTCATAATATCAAGATATTAATGCATTTAAAGGATCTAAAAACCTTACACACTTATGGACCTAGTAACTCAGCTTCCAACAACATGAAGCAAGTTTTATAGAACTTCTTCACCATGCAAAGGTATCTTTACATATAATAGCCTTTTAATTGAATATAAAAGCAAAGTTTGAATGGACCCATTCTAGCTTTATAAGGTCAGAAGAAACCCAAGATGAAATACTAAATTATTTTACAAATATTTATTTTCACATTTCATTTGTGAAATAAACAATAGTAGAATTCTGCACTCTAATTGGGAGGATTTAGGTGAGTCAACTCTTATACCTTAGCTATCTCACTTTTAGGATATAGCAATTGTATCTATACATGATAGATCACAAAATTATTGTAAAATTAAGTGAAATTATAGATAAGATAGTGTATGAAATGTTCAACTTGTTATTATTGTCGTTACCTGGACTTATGAGCACAAAAGTCATAAATTTTTCATAGTTGAATTGTCATTGAATATCCTTGAAACTTTTGATTCTTTTTTAATTTTTTATTTTAATGTAATACAAGTAGATATTAATAAAGATAATATGAAAGCCATTCTATGAAAAATAATTTTTCATAACAAAAATTATTAGACTAACCATGCACTGTGTATCATGATCTTAAAAGAATATATTTTCATTTATTATTTTATCTCTCAGCTCATTTCCTCACAATACTATACCTTTTTTGCATAAAACATTCTATTGTCAAAGTATATTCTGTATAATTTTGAACAATTTCTTCCTATTACACAATATTTATTATTCTTTTAATCCTTATTTTTACTTTCAGTTTCTCACACCAGAGAGAATATGTGATATTTATACATGTATGTTCTATTTATTTCACTTTAGAGTATTTCTCAATGTCCATCCATTTACCTCACAATGTTTCAAATTTATCCTTATTTATGGCTGAATAGTACTCCATTATATAAAAAACCACATATTTTTTATCCATTCATCAGTTGATGGGCTTTTGAGTTGTTTCTAAGATTTAGCTATTACAAACTGTGCCGGTATAAACATAGGTGAGCATATGTCATTGTGGTATGATGTTTTTAATTCTTTTGGGAAGATACCTAGAGGGGAATAGCTGGGTCACCTGGGACCGCTGTGCCTAGTTTTTTGTGGAATTTTCATACTGATTTCCATGGTGGTTTCACCAGCCTACACTCCCACCAACAGTAGAGAAGGGTTCCTTTTCCCTACAGACCCACCAGTATTTGTTATTGGTTGATTTCTTGATAATAGCCATACATTCTGGAGTGAGATGGAATCTCAGCATTGTTTTAATGTGCATCTCTCAAGCAACCAGTGATTTTGAGCGTTTTTACAGAAACAAAAACAGTAGAAACTTTTGATTCTCAGCCTACTTAACCAATTTTGATGCAGATTTCAGGGATTACAGTGATTTTCAAAGTGTGATCTATTACCTAGAAGTATAAATATCAACTTAAATATTTTTAAAAAAATAAAGATTTGGGGCATACTGTTTTACATACTGAATGTTATTTTCTGGACCAAAGAAATAAAAATTTGCAGTTAGAAAAAGTCATTAAGTCTGTGACTTCCAAGCTTCTGTGACCTTGAACCATGGTAAAAAAAAAAAAAAAGTATCATATATTGCAAGCATATGCATACACACTGAACTGCAAAAGCTTTTATTAATCATTCTTTTTTTCATGGAAAATCTAGAATTATGGCATTAAATAAATAGCTGAAGATATTCATTCAATTCTGTCCCTATTATGAGAGTCATATTATTCTGAAACCTGAACAGAGTCAACAGGGGTACATGTGTTTTCTAGACAACAAAACGCACAGCTTTCGGTAACACAAATACATGCAACTTAACATACACACTTTTTTAGGGCACCCCAGGGCTTTACTTGTTAGATGTTAACCAAGCAGCTTGAAATTTTGATCATCAACCTCTGACATTATTTACTCTACCTTGCCAAAGTCTTTGTCACAACTCTGAATTTGTTGATACAAGATTGCGTTTGACATTCTTATAATGTAGTTTCTCCTTAAGCTTGAATTTCTTTTAGTGAATGCATGAGTAACTGAGAGAATGAGTGAACACACATTTATGGAGTACTAAGTAAGTGTCAAGCATTGTGCCTGGGACCTTCAAGTATTAGAATATTTTATGTAATTCCAATGACATTTTCTTCATGAGACTAATTCATACCATTATAGACATTTTCCAATGTGAATTATACTACAAAATCCTTAATTTTATATTTCATTTAAATTAATGAGGAAACGGTTCATAATATATTTTAAACAAAGTGTTACTATTAAATACTAACAACTATAATTGTAGTTAAAAATTAAAATCTCTTGGAAAAGATCAAAGAAATATTTGATTCTGATGCAACTTTGACTAAAATATTTACTTTAGAATTAAAAACATTCTTATTTTGGTATATCACTTTTTGTATAATTAAAATCAATATTTTATAGAAAGACTGATTATTTTATGCTCAAAAAGCTTTTTTCAATTCACGAGTAAAATATGCAATTATACATTTCTTTGCTTTGGTATGCTTCCTACTAGTGATAGTACCTATATTTCTTAAATATAAAGCAAAACACAGTAAAATAATACTTAGTTCCTGGTAATTTCTTTAGGTTTCCTTAACCTCAAATTGGCTAGCTCCTGTCTTGTCCACTCTTTATATAGATATATACATAAGTACAATATACACAGACTTACAGGACTATCAGCTCACAAATATAGTAACTGGTTTTGAACAACACAGATTATATGCAAAATATTTAAGTAATCACATATGATATGGAAATATTTTAATCCACTTATTTTGGTTCAAGGACATTGATGAAGGTGGTTTTCTTTTACTTTAGCTCGTTTGTATGATGGAGATATTCTTTTTAATCTATATACATTCAGCAAGCTTTTTCTGTAAAGGACCAGATAATAAATATTTTAGACTACGTGAATCATACAGTTTCTCTTATTACTAAGTTCTGCCGTTGAAGTATGAAAGAAGATGTAGATAACATGTAAATAAATGAATATAGCTGTGTTCCAATAAAACTTTATTTACAAAACCAGGTGGAGGCCTGGAGATGGCCCACAGGTCACAGTTGCTGACATGATTCCACATTTAATTTGTATAAGACCATCTAACCTTAATTTACATGATTTCTTGTTAAAACAACAATAATCATTCTTATGATGCAATTCATTCTGATATTTTCATTACATTTTATTATAGTTAATTAACATAAAGAAACAATGGGTTAACAAACCATGGTTTGAAAATGTCATATTAAATGATTCTTATGCAGTGCAAAACTTCAGAATCAATGATGTAAGAAGCAAATTCTCATAGGGTGGGACTGCATAATGATAATAGTTTGGAAGGATTGATATTACCTTACTTATGCTTTATCTATGCAAAAGCAATATGAACATATTTCGACTATCTTATTATGTACAGATTGCATTAAAGAAAATATGCAACATGCAAAATTCAGGTCCAAAAACCAAATACTCACAAACGTTTATGCCAAATTTCATAATCAAAGCTCATATTTTAAATAATGAATATTTAAAATGTCTCACCACATTAAAACATTCTACTTTAGTTTGGCAATGAGCCCTATCACTCTCAGAGCAATTTTTGAGTTTCCTCTTTAGACGATTTAAAAATCTTTAGAATGTTAAAGAATTTCTCCCTAAGGTAAGGGACTTGAAAACTGGTCTATAAAGGTCTCACTTCCAACATGGAAATGGTCCATTTTATTTCACCCAAATCCTATTTATTCTCCCTAAACAGTTTAGAGGATGAGTCCTACTTCTTCCAGCATAAGTCATCTAATCATTTTGACTGATTAAGTTTCAATGTTGTATTAATCAGCTTTCCTATTGCAAAGACACAATATCCAACACTCACAACATAAAGGAGGAGAGGTTTAATTTAGCTCCTGACTTCAGAGAATTCATTACAAGGTTAACAGTCTCCAAGGCAGGAACATGATGGCAGAATGGCATTGTGGAACAGAGATCCTTATTTTATGAAAGCATAGAAGCAGAACAGGGGAACAGTATCCTAGAGGATGAGGGGAGGGATCTGATATAACCCCCCCAAAAAAAACATGTCTCCATGAGCCACTCAGATATACTCAGAAGTGTGCTTTACTAACATCCAGGGAGGATCCCAAAGCCAATCAACTTGACAATTCACTCTACCACTAAAAATGTTTACTTTTTTGTATATGATGGAAAATTTTTCCAAACATCAAGACATTTGTCTAGCACTGCTGTGTTACTTAACTTCCTTTCACTTTGGTGATGAAATACCTTCCTTCTTTAGGAATGACTTCTTTCACTACTTTGTATCCATGGCTTGATTTTTGGTTTAGAAAATTATCAGTGCTTAAATTCTTAGGGGAAAAGGGTTCTGAATAGAAAACAGACTAGCTGGATGTGGTGGCACGTACCTGTAATCCCAGCTACTCGGGAGGCTGAGCAGGAAGATGGCAAGTTCAAATCTAGCCTGGGAAACTTAGCAAGACCCTGTTTTCAAAAAATTAAAAAGAGCTGAGGATTTATCTCAATGGTAGAGTACTCCTAGGCTTGAAACCCAGTACTGAAAAAAATAGGCTTTGGAATCAGGTATCTTTACTCTTCCTAATGCTTTCCAGACTTAGTCAAATCTCCTGTATTTCATAGAGTTTTAGTTGTGTTAAAATGTTAAAATAACATGTATCACTATGATTTTTGTAAAGATTAAATGAAATATTTCTATGAAACATTTGTCACAGAAGTTTTTTGGGGGTTTTTTTGGTAATGGGGATTGAACTCGGGTCCTTGTGCTTGCGAGGCAGGCAGCGGAACCACTGAGCTAAATCCTCAGCCCTGTCATAGAAGTTTTTTATGATGCTTCCTAGATCACAGATTTTGTATCTATAGGTGCAAATATTTAGCAACTACGTTTATGCCATATGTCCCTTTGGTTAAATCAACTTGGGTGGGAGAAGATTAGAGTAGAAAGCAGGTAATGTACTCAACTTAGGCCAAGAAAATGCTATCTACTTTGAATTTGTACTACAATTCTAGCTCTATCTGAACTAATTTTGAGAATAAAATATTTAAATTTACTCATGTAGAGAGACTATCTTCCATTATATCGCATAAGCTTAAAAACAGAAACATATCACCTGCAGAAAGAAGATCCAGAGGCCTCTTGGGTGCCTAAGTCTCATTTTCTAGCTGCATCCATCAACTTGCATTCCATACAATGGTCTCCATAAACAAATTCTTAAAGTGTTTCCTTCTTGTTTGTTTTTTATTAAAGCTGGCTTGGGTGGTATTCTAGTACTTGTAAACAAGAGGCTTGGACAAGCAGAGACTTCAAGTAATTCCTATTGCCTTGAAAAAATAGGTGGGGTGAGTTCATTACAGGTGCTTCAATGAGTCATTAGTGATATTGCAATCAGGAGACCTAGAAAGGAATCAGAGATAACACAGTCCATCACCTTTGTATAGCAAAGGAGACCAAAGATGAATGGATAGCCTCATGTGGGAAAAATAATAAAGACTTGGAAAACAGAGCATCTAAGTTGTAGTTCTGACTCTGCCACTAACTTGTATAAGATTCTCTGTCTAGAAAATAAAGACTTTAAAGCATTACCTGATATTTAGTATTCTTTTAACTTTGTCAAACTCATGTGTCTAACATCGTTTAGATGTTCAGTGAAAACTGCAGTGAAAAGTGGGAGTGTTGATATAAGCAATGAGCAAATGGTTGGGTGTGGAGAAACCAGAGAAAAATAGATTTGCTTTGTATGTACATTATCTATACTAACATATACTTTTATCTTTTTAGGTATTATCTGGATGTTTGGATATTTCTGTTTTTCATTCTGGTTTTCCTTACATCCTTCAACTAGGAAAGGAAAGCCAAGGAGGTATTTAGTGTCTAAGGTCAGAGTTTTGATTAGCTCATAAATGCTAGGTTTCATTTAAATAGATATCTTGTTTATCAGAAGTCCTGAGGAGAAAAATATTCCCTAATGTACTTCATTTAATACTGCTATCAGCTTTTGATTTTTAGTCTCCAATACTACATCAGTTTTTACTTAGAATCCTTGAAATGGCCTCAAGAAAAAAAAGAGACAAGCAAATATGTAATGTAAGCTCTCTAACATTTCAAATTTCCTGTTAAATACTTAAAACATAGGATGAGTGATAAAGCTGGAGTTTGAGCCTCTTGAAAGCCAGCTACTAGGGTTCTACGGGACTAAATATGGACCTTGCATATATTCCACGGCTTGGTATATCCAACATTATATCAATTGGTATATCCAACTTTATATCAATTGGTATATCCAAATAAAACTTGTGATAGAATATCTGAAATCCAGAACAGTGAAGTCTCCTAAGGTCAAATATATGGGGATGAAAGAAAATTAGATTTGAGAATCAGAACTGAATTCCAAGCCAGGTTCTTATGAAATAACTTTTCCAAATCTCTCCACCTTTTTAAGCCTTAGTTTCCTTAGATATCCTCTCAGCATGAAAAAGTCATTTATATCCATGCAGACTTATCAGTACTAAAAATACTCTACTCTGAATGAAATTAGTTTATTAATGAAATAGATTGCAGCTAATGGTATCCGGCCAATGCATTATTTCTTCGTAGAAAAGCAACAGTACCTTCTTAAATAGATCAAATTACAACTGATGAATACACAGGGGATGGCTGGTAAATTTGCTTTTACATTAAGCTAGTTAACAATTTATTTCATTAAATAAATCAAAAGAGTTTAAACTAATATACCTAGCAAATATTAATGTCCCAATAAGTGGTAGGTATTTTTCTTCTTTCTCTCCAACCTTTCCACATTTGCAACTGTCTTTCAATCCTTCCAATTTGTGCTTCTTACTATTATCATGTGACTGGATGTAATGTTGAGGACAGAGTAAAAAGAAAGACATTTCTAATTTTTAATATTCTAAATGAATACTAAAGCACTATTAACAAAGAGGTCCAGGAAGAAAAATGACAAGCTATTTCCCTTAAAGTATGATTTGCTATTGATTTTGAACCTATCTTTGCACATTAGGTATTGGCCCACTTCTGTTGTATACATCTCTTTTAACTTTTTTTCTATCCACTTAGTATTCTGAAGAAATTGAATAAAGATGTGATATATGAAACAATCAAATGACATGACTTCTTTTCTTACACAAATTTGTTAGCAGAGCTAAAATCACTAGAATGAAATTAGGATATGATGCATGTAACCCAGAATTAGATAATTTAACGATAATTAAAGTTATTGGTTAAATTATCTGATAATTCCTTCATGTTTTCACTCATATATATATATATGTATATATATTGCCCTTTTCTATTCCTGGAACATAGTATTTAAATTACACTATATTGAGTACTTTATAGGTTTTGATAGTGGTACTTACTTTGTGGAGATGGAATAGAAATCACTTAACTAGTATTATAGACTATTAAATTATAGACTACTAATTATAGACTATTAATACACTATTATAACTATTAATAGAAATCACTTGACTATTATTTTTCTGTAAGCCCTCTGAGTCTAGTTCAGTACCTGGTGCTTAAGAGATACTTAATTTGTTGGTCAAGTGGACAAACTGATTAAATAAATTAAAAAACAAACTGGGGAAATTTAGTTTTTTATCTACCCATTGATCCCCACCAGTATTTTATGCATTGATTTGGATATTGTGCATTGGATATTTTTCTGTGCACTATGTGGTTTTTCTCTCCAATCTTCTTGAAATAAAATCTTATAAGCTTTTGGTATAAAACACTCATTAATACATGATTTTCATAACATAATTCACCCATGTAGAGTATACATATATCTATGCAGTAATAAATAATTTCCTGACCTTATTTGATAATGTTATCATATTACTAACTTTAAAAAAAAATATGATGCATGTATAGTAATTGAAGCAACTAAAAGAACATTTCCCAGCTTTATAACATTTCATCACCTAAAAAAGAAACTTATCAATTCATTATCTCATCACCTCTCAGTCTCTCTCTTCCAGCTTTACTCAACTTCTAATATTTCTGTCTCTGTGGATTTACGTATTGTAGACATTTCACCTAAGAAGAATCATGCACTATGTACTTCTTTCACTGGCTTTTTTCACTTAGCATAGTGTCGTCAAGATTCTTCCATGATTTAGCATATATTAGTACTTTATTTCTGTTTTGTTGAAAGATATTTTATTGTATGGATATACCATATTTTAATTATTCATTCATTGGTTGATGAACCACTTGGTTTGCTTCTTTTTTTCTAATATGAATAATGCTTCTGTGACCATTTTTATAATCTGAGAAAGATATTGGTATACTAGACAACACATATTGTCAATGTCCCTATTCATACCTAAAACATTCAGGTTTAACTTAATTATCTCTGTGATAGTTTGGGGAAGAAAGAAAACTATCAATAGAGGCAGCAAATAGGAATGCTGAACTTTTTTTAAATAATTAATTTTATTGATAAGTTATAGGTATGCACAATGATCACATTCATCATAGGAAATTTGTACTTGTACATGATATACCTTGATTCTTCTTTTCTTTCATTCTCCTCTCCCCCCTTCAATTCCTCTTCTCCTCCTTATTTATAAAAACTTTGTTTCCATTTTATTTTTCTTTTCTCATTCTTTTTTTCTTTTTCTTTGCTTCCTTTTCCTCTCCCCTCTCCCTAGTTCCCCTTCCCATTGAACATTTTCTTCCTATTTTACAATATCTATTATATATTTTGGTCCTTATGTACACTTTCAGTTTCTCATACCGGAGAAACAATGGAATATTTGCACATGTTTTCCTGATTTATTTAACTTAAGAGTATGTTCTAAAGGTGCATCCATTTACCTGGAAATGTCTCAAATTTATCCTTCTTCATGACTGAGTAGGGCTCCACTGTAGAAGAAAACCACATCTTCTTTATACATTCATTGGTAGATGGACATTTGAGCTGCTCCTAAAATGTAGCTATTACAAACTGTGCTGCTATAAACATGGGTGCACATATATTGCTGTGATATGATGCTTTTAATTCTTTTGGGGGAGATAGCTAGAAGGGGAATAGCTAGGTTAAATGGAACCTCTAGTTTTAGATTTTTGAGGAGTCTCCAAACTTATTTTCACAGTGGTTTTACCAGTTTACACTCCCATCAATAGTGGAGAAGTGTTCCTTTTCCCCACAGCCCCACCAGCATTTATTTTTGGTTGATTTCTTGGTAACAGCCATTCTTTCTGGAATTAGATGAATTCTCAGCATTGCTTAACTTTGTATCTCTTGAATGACCAGTGGTGTTGGCCTTTTGTTATATATTTCTTTGTGATTTGTACATCATCTGAGAAGTGTGTATTCATTTCAGATGCCCATTTTTGGATTGGGTCTTTAAATTAGATGAGTATGATTTTTTGAGTTCTTAATGTATTCTAGATATGAGTCTTTTGTCTGAGGAACAGCTGGAAAAATTTTTTGCCCCTCTGTGGATTATCTCTTAACTCCGTTGGTGACCTCTTTGTGCAAAAATTTTCAATAAAATGAGATCTCAGTTGCTAATTCTTTGTAATATTTCCTCTGCCATTGTATTTTTGTTCATAAACTCTGCCTACACCCATATCTTCAAGAATTCTACTTATTCTCTCTTCCAGCAGGCATAGTGTTTCTGTTTTAATATTGAGATCTTTGATCCATTTTGATTTTAGTTTAATGCATGGTGAGAGACATGGGCCTAGTTTTATACTGCAAAATTCTCAGTAAGATACTGGCAAACAGAATGCAGCAAATCAAGAGCATTACACACAATGACCAAGCAGGATTCATCCCAGCAATGAAGGGATGGTTCAACATATGCAAATCAATAAATGTAACACACCATATCAACAGAGCCAAAGACAAAAATTCATATAATCATCTCAATAGACACAGAACAAGCATTTGACAAAGCACACCACCCATTCATGATAATAAAGCTCTACAGAAAATTAGAATAGATGATATTTATCTCAATCTGATAAAAACCATCTATGACAAACCAACAACCAGCATAATACTAAATAGTCAAAACTTGAAAGCTTTTCACTCTAAAATTAGGAACAAAGATGTCCAATATTACCACTCCTATTCAATATAGTTCTTTATGGAAACATTAGCCAAAACAATTGGAGAAGAGAAATAATTAAAAGGAATAAAGATAGGAGAGGAAGAAGTTAAATTATCATTATTTGTAGATGACATGATGCTCTACATAGAAGACCCCAAACACTCCACCTAAAGACTTCTAGATTTAATAACCAAATTTAATACAAATCTGGATGCAAAGTCAACACTCAAAAATCAATAGCACTCTTATACACAAATAATAAAGTCACTGAGAAAAAATTAGGGAAACAACACCTTTCACAATAACATCAAAAAAAGAAATACTTAGGATTCAATCTAACAAAGGAAGTGAAAGATCTTTACATTGAAACCATAGCACTCTGAAAAAGGAAATCAAAGAGGATATCAGAAGATGGAAAGATAGCTCTTGCTTTTGTGTGGAAAGAACCAACATAGTGGAAATGGCCATATTTCCAAAATCATTATAAAGATTTAATGCAAGTCAAAATACCAATAGCACATCTCACCAAAGTAGAGAAAACATTCCTAAATTTCATTTGGAACCAGAAGAGACCTAGAATAGCAAAAACAACAATGTAGAGTATACCTGAATATGCCTCATTTGAGAAAGAATATTGTTTTCTCTTGCTGTTTTTACCCTAAATTGGTATATATTCAACAACTTTGTATATACTAACCTCTCTTTTTCTATATATTTATTCATTTGAGATATTAAGGTACGAGAAAATCAGAACACATAATCACAACTTGAATTTCATTATCTAAGTGACATGTTGCCTACTGAAGTATAAGAAGCAGAACAAATCTTTAAAGAAAATAAGTTTATGATTTATGTTAACTAAAGAATAAAGTCATTTGAAATTATTTGATGAATATTAATTAAAACATAAAATATTTTCTGCTTGTTCCAGTAATAAACATTTTATTGAGAAGTGGAAATAGTTTTGATAGAGTTTAGTGAGTAGGAGACTTTCTTCAAAGGAGATACATTGGAAGATATTTTAATAATGTATTTGACAATCTTCCAAGTGATAAATGTGAGCATACTTCCTATGAATTCCCTAGTTTGATTATTTTTTTGACAGTTGATGAATTCTCTCATTAAACTGAAATGGAGTTACACAAAATAATACATACATAATAACATTAATGATAGCCTTATAAATTAATAACACTTATGGCTCAAGTGTGAGTAGGTCCACTGTTTACTAATATTTTCCTGATTTTGTCAGATAAAATATTATCATATCCTTTCTAATTGTTAAAGACCTCTTTAATATATGAAGGTGTATAGAAGTGAAGCCAAACCCTTATTAACACTATCTATCTTGTAGCTCAGGTCGACATTGGACTCTTAATTAAACATAAAATGGTCCATTTGAATGAAGAGAAAATAAAGATCTGAAGGATAAGAGCACTTGTTAGAGGAACTAAATGTAAAATGTGATGTGAAAACACTAGAAGATCAAGATGTGTGATCACAGAAACTAAAAGATGTGAAACAAAATTTTATTTTACCGACTTCGCAATTTCCTTTTAATAAAATACAGGTGGTATCAGCAATGCATCATCTACTTGCTTTCCCTGTCTCACAAATCTTCTTATGCCAGTGACTTCAGTCGTCCAAATCGTTGAAGGTACCCACTATCACTCACCCTTTCATTCTTCTATATGTCTGAACATCCTTTACTCTGATTTAAACCTTCTTGTTGTTTCTTTAACAATTCTATGGAGATTTTGGCTATCCTGCTTCCAGTTCAACAAACTCTCCATTTTTTCCATACTTTGATATGGTTTTTCTCTTTATTTCCAAATTTAAATAAAACCCAGATGCTTTCCTGAGAATACAAATTACTACTAATTCTATAAGAGGGATATTTTCATTCAACTCAGTACAAATTTGAGGAAGATGGGACAATTGTATCCCTGTCTCCTTATGGTTCCTTTCATGCCATGTATTTCACTTCCTTCTGGAAAACAGATCAAAATCAAAATTCTTCCAATGAAATTACCTACCTTAGTGTAGCTCAGGCCATTCAACTTAGCAAACTTTCCTTTTCTTCATTGCTCTTACCTACCTATGTACTAAACAGTATCCATCTTGAAAATAGGCTATTAGCACCCAGATTATAATAAACTTCACTTCCTATGATTTGCCATCATCCCTGGAGACATTAATGCCCACATGGATGCCTCATCAACATTCTGGTCTCTGATAACATAGATTTCACAAAACTCATTCTGGTGATTATCTCCTATCCATCCATCACTTTGCCCTACATATTATGTCACAGTATTTGAACCCTCTAATACATCGAGTTCTCTAATACATTAAACACACCACTTCTTCACTGTTCATCAATTGACTCTTAATTTTTTTCTTTATCCAATCTTTATTTTTAGGAAATTATCATAATGACATGCTTACAAATATCTCCAGCTTCCCCTACTATTACTGTAACAGTGGAAAGGGTGATTTTGATTTGCATTTCACTGATGATTAATGACAGGATTATCTTCTCATGGAATTGTTGGCCCTTTATATGACTTTTTGGAGAAATACCTATTTATATCCTTACCCGAATTTATTTTTATTTTGGTTATTACGTTATAGGAGTTCCTTCTTCATATTGGATATTAATCCCCTATCAGATATATAGTTTTCAAACATTTTCTCCTATTCCATAAGGCTGCCACTTTTGTTGATTGGTGGTTTCCTTTATTCTCTTCTTCTACTACTTAAATTCCATATTTATCTATTTTTTTATATTGCAGAATATTTTGTAAGAAATATGCTGGCTTTATAAAATGGATATTTATTTCTTAAATAATATAGGTCTATACATGACTGATAAATTACCCACCTTAATGTATGAGGAGTCTCCTTGAATCCCCTCACTGTATCTGGATACTATTAGATTTATTGGCTCAGAAATTTTCAGCAGACCTGAAATGATATACAATTTGCATCACTAATTCAAGGATACTAAGCCTGAACAGGGAAGAATTTGGAGTTTGGGGCTGTCCATCTGTGGAAAATAATTGTATATTTTTATCTGTTCTATCTAACTTCTAGTTACAGATTATGACTGTGTCATGCCTATTTCTTAGTGTTGCTGTCAAACAGTGCTCAGGAAAAAGTCAGATGAAAAAACCCACAATATCTTAGATGTTTTGTTAGATTGTATCCACATTTGCAGTTGATTCTAAGTGATTTGGAGCTACAGAAATTAATGTAGCCCTTATACCTAGTATTTTCCTACTCTTTAGCTCAAACTTTCCATATAAGGAAGTATTGTACTGTCAAGTTTATATTAACCAGAAACTTCTCTAGCAGTTTACATATTATATTGTATATTGATGCAATGATGTGAGATTTTTCTCAGTACCCTCAATTACTCTCATTGCATTTTTAAATTAGCTAGTGGAAAATCTTCAGTTTGTATGGGTTATGAATGTGATCTTTCCCTAGATTCATTTTCTCAGTCAAATTGATCCTTTTTAAAAGATACATTTGGGTTTTGTTCCTGTGATCCTAAAGAAGTGTGTTAGGTTTGAGTATTCCTGTCACCATATTTTTTGGTAAATTACATAATTTTAAAATATGATACGTGCTTTATATAAGTAGTGGTTTCTGGGGGGTTGGGGTGGTGATATGGGCAAATGCCACATTTTAAAAGAACTGCTTTTGTTTTTTGTGCTAAGAGCAAATGAGAAAAAGAACGTTTTCATTTTATAGTCATAATTAATACTATACTCATTGACTAGGAATAATGCTCTCTTTTTTCCTTTGCCTTCCAAATCTTTGAAATTTTGCATTCAAAATATTTCCTTTATTTTTATGTAAAGCCATTTCACATAGAAGATTAAAATATAGGAAATAACTGCAATCTTATTTGATATCAGCATTCTTCATGATTGTAAAAATAGTTTTAAGAAAATAAAGTTTCTTTAACAAAATGAAATATTT